GTATGTAGGTGCTGTTTATCTCTATGTGTCTGTTAATTGCTGCCTTGTCTGAATACAAAGCTTCCAAGAATGCTCTTGGAATCCAAATCCAAAAATGCAAGAGACTCTTATCTTGGGGTGCGGGAGGATGGTGTTCCAGAGGGCAGGTACCACAGCAGAAAAGACTCTCCTCCTGGGTCTCACTAGACAACATTTCCTGGCTGACAGGATATACATGTCCCACCTGGTATCCTTTGGACCAACTATGGGGGTTGGGATGGGTGGCATTGCATTATGTTGGTTTTCCTCCTTGCTCCAGGGCCAGTTCAAGTTGTGGCTGATCAGAAGTAAGAAGCCCCACCCTCAGCCTCTGCTTTGTGGGGACTGCCCTTGAAAAGAATCTGGAAAGTTCAGCTGGTGCAAAATGCAATGGCATAAGCAGCTCTGCCTGCTTCTCCATCAGTGCACATTATACCTCTGCTCTGCAAGCTACTGTACATTGGTTGCCAGTTTGCGTCCAGGTTCTATTCAAGGTGTTGTTTATAATTTATAAAGCCCTAATGGTATGCAGCTGGGCTATTTAAGGGACCACTTGTCCCCAGTTACATCTACCTTTCCCATCATGTCCAGTAAAAGGAGCAAGTAACAGGTCCCATCTATGAAGGAGCGACATCTGACAGGATCTAGGAGGAGAGGGTTTTCTGATGCAGTATCCATCCTCCAGAAATTAGACTGGCCCACTAAATACTGATCCTCCCCCCCCCTCCAGAAATTAGAGTGGCCTCCACTCAGTTTGTCTTCCAGAAGGCTCTAAATACCTTGTCAACATTCCTGGGGATCCAGTTATGGTCTGAAGCCTGCATGTTGGTTGTGTTGATGGACTCATGACTTGCACTTGCCTGCTTCTGGTTTTAATTTCTGGTTTTATTTGGGTTTTAATCTGGTTTTAAAGGGGCTGTTGTTTTTATTGATTTTTGTATTGGTTTGGTTGTTTAATTATGTGAACCAACCAGGATCACAAATATGAGATGGGTGGATATACATATCAAAGAAAGAAGGAAAGACAGTCTCATTGGCTACAGGAAACTGTACAATATATTGTTTAAGTAATAACAGCATTGTCATGAGTTTAAATAATAATAAAATATTTAATCTCACATTAAAGTACTAGAACAATAGAAAAAAAAGACAAAAAGTTATTATAGTTCTACCCCTAGTAAATTTCGTTATACTGTACATTTAGCGGTGCACTCTGGGAAGAAGATCAGCTACAGCTTCCAGAACATTCCCACCTTCTGCCACCAAAATAGCATGAATTTAAGGATTAATCAGCCACAATTCTTCCTAGACAAGGGGGGGGGGAAAGTTCCTAACCTTTGCCCTTTCAACTCAATTATTTCCTTCCTTGATTTCCTCTGCAAACATGGTGCCTCTGAACCTTCCCCGTTACACTTGTTTCCAACCATTTAGACTCCAACCTCTTGCCAGGCAATGTCCTGAGCCTGATCTAAGAATCTCTGTGCTGGATCACACCCTGGACATACCCTGAATGTCAGCCATTTGGAGAAGCTGTCAATGAAAGTCTTCTTTCACTGGGATGAGATTAGACAATCTCCTGGCTTTTTCCATGCAGGTTCATCACCACTGAGAGGGGTATGACAAGAGGAGGTTCCTTTGGAGATGAAGTAGACTCCATGCAGTCTCCCAGTGATTCTGCTTGAATTCACTGCAGACTCAATTTTCTGAGAGCAAAAATTCAGAGAGGGAGGACTGATTCTCCATTTTTTTTAAAATGACTAAGAGGATGCACACCAGTTCATGGGAAAATAAAGAAAAGAAATCCATAAAACATATTAACTGTGGAGACCACAGCCAATTTACATACTTAACCATGGGGCATTTTGTGGATTTGGAAAGGGAGTGGAGTGGAAGGGAGGGAAGGGAAGGGAAGGGAAGGGAGGGGAAGGGAAGGGAAGGGAAGGGAAGGGAAGGGAGGAAAGCAAAGACATCCACAGAATCCAGCAGTTTTGTTATAATCAGAAAGCAAGTGTGATGTTTCATGCAAACTCCATCCATTAAAATGCAACTACAACAGAGGTGAAGCTTGTGTTCTCATGCCATCATTTGCTTTCCTCGTATCTCAGTATCATGCTTGAGAACATCAGTTGATTTTTGCAAGAGTTTTGCATGTTTGTTTTAATATTGCTAAAGGAAACCAACATTCTGGTCCTACAGTATATTATCTGAAGAGTAAGAAACACTGAACTCAAAGAAATATGAGATCTGGGTCACGAGAAGCTGTAAGCATTATTTTACATGTGTCATCAGAACACAGGAAACATATGAAATTTGTAACATAAGACTTTTAAAAAACTTCATTGAAAAACCTATATGGTGCCAATGAATTTTCTTGAACAGCTGGCCCATGGCAGCTCCCACCTGTCCAAAATATCTAATATGCATTATGAGCTTCTTTTTCAGAATCATAAAGCAAACATATCTGAAAAAGATTGATAAATCTCAAGGGATTGCTCAGAACAGTGCCTGATACCACCATCTAAGAGCATCCCTCCCATATTCTGTGTAAGCATCTATTAAAAACAGTAAGTCACACCAACATCCTTTTGAGTTAAATAACTGTAATGATACTTAACCGCCCACCTCAAAAATAAAATAGAAACTGTGTGTCGGGAGGGATGGAGGCCTTTCGATTTCCATTATGAGAAAGATGTATGTTGGGGCGATTTTGATGTATCCTCTCTTGTCATAAGGTTTGTAAAATCAGAACATTAGCATTTTTCCCCTGTTGGATTCTTCACTTAAAATAATACAGACCCTTGGGCATTCTCCCATGGACTATAGGAAACCTACGACCTACCAAAGCTTTATTATACTGCCAATGGAGATCAACTCTTATTATATTTAGGGGGAAAGGCTAGCAAGATTGGGTAAGATTCATGGCTGCTCAGCGTGCAATCTTAAAAATGGCTGCACAGAAAAAAAAAAAAAGAAAAATATAAAGAAATCTGCATGAATAAATATCATGAGTTATTCCCTTTTACCTTGAACTATATTTATTTCTCTTCTTTTCCCTGCAAGTACTCAACCTAGGCCTTCCTACATGTTGTCTTCTAATTATAATTTGTTAGGATTTTCTCATGGGAAGAAATGCATCTCGCTATCTTCAAACAATTGGTTAGGCTAGAAAAGCAAGCCATCTGCATTTATTTTTGTTAGTTTGCACGTATACTGCTATTTACCGCCACCTATTGGCGTTTGTATGCTACTTACCCAAGGGGAGGTGCATAGTGTCAATAAAGTGTGGGTAAGTATATGCCTCACTGCTCAGTAGGGTGTTAGCCATCATGTAATCAGTTTTTATAGGTTATGTAGTAGTAACTAATAACTAAGTAGTGTACCTCTTCTCTGAGAGTTTTTGGCCAGAGACTTTGTTAAACTTGTGTAGTGGATAAGTCTTGGAGGCCACATATATGAGAAGAAGTGATATTTTTTATGTTTTGCATGAAACTCGTATTTTATGTAGTTTTTATTTTTCTCAATGAGCAACCAGATATTTTATACTTTCTGGCTGAATTTCTTTGGGGAACAAGATAAGGACGTTGCATTCTTTAAATCTCTCTAACGCTGGTATGTATTTTTGGCATGACCTGTAGTTTTAGCTGCACTCTGCATAACAGGATATGGGCCCAGAGCAAGGTCCCAGAGTGCGGTCCCAGAGTGAGGAGAGATTTATGCCTGGATTCGTTGCCTGTGTAACGTCTGGTACAACCTTCTTGATTGAGGTTTGGTTTTTTCTCTGTGTTTTTGTGTGTGTGCCTGCAAAGTGAAGCATGGCAACCATGGCAGTGAGCCTACCCTTTGAGAGGTTAAATTCAAAAAATTACCAGACATGGAGTATAAAAATGAAATCTTTTTTCCTGAAGGAGGGTTTATGGCAGTTTGTACAAAATGCCCCGCCAGGAGCACCTACAGCTGCAGAGCAAGATATGCTGGACTGTGCTTATGGTAACTTGATCCTGGGACTTGAATCTTCAGAATTAGTCCATATTCGTCATTTGGAGACTGCTCACGGATGCTGGGGAGCTTTGCATGCTATTTATGCGAGACAAACCTCCGTCATTTGGAGACTGCTCACGGATGCTGGGGAGCTTTGCATGCTATTTATGCGAGACAAACCTCAGCTGCTATCGTAAGTTTATCAAAGCAGTTATATAATCTTAAATTGGATCAAGGAGCTAATGTAATTGAGCATTTACATAAGATGAAAACTTTGTTTGCTGAGCTGGAGGATCGTGACATGGCAATACTAGAGAGACAAAAAGCTTGCATAATTCTTTCGAGTTTGGATGATTCCTTTGATATGCTGGTTGAAGCAGCGCAGACTTTGACACCTGCAGATCTTACAGTGGATTATCTTACAAATCATCTACAGGAAATTCAGAATGGTCGTGAATTGCAGAGTTCAAAGAAAAGGCTTGATAACGTGAGGCAGCGACCTTCTGCTGGCATAGAGACTGCATGCGTAGTAAGAAAATGTTTTCGCTGTAATTCTACCAAACATCTCATAAAAGACTGTCCTATGAAAAATCAGCCAACTGATAGTTCCAGAAAGTTCGTCCGTCATGGGAAGGGACTGCCTGTTAAACAGCAAGCAAGTACTAGACTGGTATCT